GGAGGGAAATGCTGTCAGATGCAGAGGATGGAAATGACTAAAGCTGAGAACAAGCTCACAAGGCTAGTATCACTAACATCATGCAGGGATTGCTTCCTTGAAGGCTTTAGAACTATTTCATTTTCCAGAAGACTACATTCCTTTCTCTCAGACTCTCCATCAAATGCTCTGATTGAGACTTTCAAGCTCTGCATGCACACTGTGGTACTTAGCCCAAGGGGTCCACTATGAAGCTGAACTTCTCTGAAGCGGCATAAGTATTGGAGATCCTGCACAGTATAAGATATTGATAAAGCAGACCCTCATGACTGTGGAGGGAGGAAAATTGCACATGACAAGAACCATAGTATTTTGGGCAATCTCATGCCTTTAAAAGCTATTTGCCAGGGATGGTGGCACAAGTTTAGGTGGCTGAGACAAGAGGATCATGAGTTCAAAATGAGCCTGAGCAAAAAGCGAGTTGCTAAGCAACTCAGTGTGACCCTTCCTCTAAGTAAAATATAAAATAGGCCTGGGGATGTGGCTCAGTGGTCAGGTGCCCCTGAACTCAATCCCCGTTACAAAAAAAACAAAAAACAAAACTGTGGTGAGCCGCTTCTGCCGTTTCTGCAGATTATGGTCGCCATTACAAGATGACGCTGGCTCCGCTGTGGTCTGTGACAAACAACTTCTTATCTGGGAAAGTTGGCACATGATTTTTCACCACCCTGTGAGAAAGCTCCACGCGGCAGCTTTGCATTGGGGCTTGGGATGCTTTATTAAGGCTGGGAGGGGCATCAGAGAGAGAGAAGAAGAAATATCAAGGGCCTGAATAAACTGCTGAAAGAAGATTCCTGAGTTGCGTCTTCCTTGCGGGCAAGGGGTCGCGACAAAAAACTGTGTATTTTCAACTATTTTATCTCATCGAACATCCTTGTGATATTATGAAAATTATCACTAAGCTTAGCCAACCTCTCCCCTACATCAATCTTAAAGCTACAAATTCTACAAGATAATTTCTGAAAACTATAAAGCAGGTCTCCTTGCCTGCCTACATAAGGATTCCAGTGAAGAATTTGGTAAACCTACAGATTCATGGTCTTTGTTCCATAGGTATAAAAGTTCATCAAATCACTTCCATGGTGGAACATGTTATGAACAGTAACATGAATCTGTGTATTATCAAGGCCATGATAAAACTAGTGAACTAATTTCTTAGTTTGCCTCAGAATAAAATAATTTCTTTTTTTCCTAAAAGCTACGTTGTCATTTTATGTCACCACTTTCTCAATATTTTTCTTGTGAAACAATGAGGAGCCCTATGTAGTGAGGACTGGCTTGGGACACCTGCCTGGATGATAACAGCACAAGCATGAGTTGCCACAGTCCAGCAGCGAAGCCGATGGACATTATAACCCAGCATAGGTCAGGATATGCATATAGGGAGCAACTCTCCTGGAGCTGGCTACTGTTTGCAAATTTGGGGATGAAGGTACTCCAGAGGGAACCTGCAACCTTCACTCTCTACTTGCCTTCTTGCGTATGCTGTGATTCCCAGTTGGCACTGGCCCTGAGATGGAAACTCCTCCTTGGGGTTTCCTCCAACAGGAGGGGAGGAATAGGATGCAGAGAACTTCAGACACTGGGATTGCAGATTAGCTGGAATGTACCCTTTCTTTTTTCCTGCATTTTCCTTAGTGCATGATACTTACACGTAATGCTGTGATGTTATAAGGCAGTCACACATGCACAAAGTAGAACACTATAACTTTGCCATTACCCTCCCTGCATCTCTTCTTTTTCCTTATCCTTCCCTCCTCCTTGTGCCTGGTCCCTTCCTCTACTGATCTCCCTCTGATTGATAAATACCAAGTGATGCTATAGCTGTATTGTGTGGTTTTTCATTCCTAGTGTTTTGAGGAACTTCCTACTGATTTCCACAGTTACAATCCCTCCAAGGGTGTGAATGTATCAATTTTATTCCACAATATCTCCAGTATTTATTATTGTTTGTATTCAAATGACTGCTATTCTAAACAAAGTGAGATGAAATGTAGTATAGTTTTGATTTTCATTTCCCTATTTCCTAAAGATGGTAAATTTTTTATCATTTTATATATATATATATATATATATATATATATATATATATGTGTGTGTGTGTGTGTGTGTGTGTGTGTATTATATATCTGTATACATATATTTTTTCTCATTATATATGTATGTGTGTGTGTGTGTATATATATATATATATATACGCACACACATATATATGGTCAAATGTATTTCTTCCTTTAATATGTGTTTACTTAATTTGCTCCTTTATTAACTGGGTTATTTTGTATTATAAGATGCTGGAGTTCTTTTTTTTTTAATTTTTAATATTTATTTTTCAGTTTCTCAGTGGACACAACATCTTTATTTTATGTGGTGCTGAGGATTGAACCCAGCACCCCACGCATGCCAGGCAAGCGTGCTACCGCTTGAGCCACATCCCCAGCCCTGCTGGAGTTCTTTATGCATACTGGATACTACTTTTCTCTCAGAAAATTTATTCTCCTCCTATGGGTTATCCACATTTTTGTTTGCTTTGTCTTGCAGAAAATTCTGAATTTGATGTCATCCCATTTATTAATTCTTCAAGTTAGTTCTCAACCTTCAGGAATTCTACTGAGAAAATTGTTGCTTGCAACCATGTTGCAGTGTTGACTTTTTCTCCTAGGAATTCATAGCTTATCATCTAATTCATAGCCCTTTGATCCATGAATTGAATTTTGTGCAAGGTGAGGGACAGAGACTCAGTCTCATTCTTCTACAAATGGATAACAAGTTTTCCCAGCACATTTTGTTTTTTTTTTTTTTAAATAAAGGCTGTTCTTTCTCTAATATATTTTTGGCACACTTATCCAGGATCAAATGACAATCTGTGTGGGTTTGTCTCTTTGAATTCTATTGTAATCCCTTTGTCTTATTTCTCTGGTTGAACATGTTCATGTTTTAAGAATATAATATCCTCAAATTTCAGAGACTTATTTACAAATTTGTAAATTTAAGAATTATTATTCTTTAGTAGTTAGCTCTTTCAAACTTTAGGATTCATTTTCATATTAATAAATTACTTAAATGTGGATTAAATTAATCATGTGACCATATAGCATATTTAGTCAATCAACATAAATTTCTAATTGCTTATCCCCTAAAGCAATTTCTGATTACAGTACTCTGCCTCTGAATACATAGGAAGGAAGTTAGTATATTATGCAGATTCCACAGTACGAGCAGTTAGAATTCAGGAATTGAATGTATCTTGCCTACTGGGACACTGTTCCCCATTCCCTTAACCTCAGTGACCACACCAGGAAACTGAAAACACAAGGTCAAATATGTGAATAATATTCATGCCTTCCCTCCACCTACCCACCAGATGTGAGAATGTCAACAATTTTCCTCCAATACCTCATCCCAATATTATTCTCAATTATCCTTTGGGGATTCAATGAAAATAAGAACAGAGATATTTACTCTAATGTGGCCTCAAGAGACAAATCCTTTAAAGACTCCATCCCATTGTACTGGACCCTGGGCCAGGGAGGGACATGGTCAGTGTGTTCTCTCCCCATCTCTTTCCACTTCCCATTCTGCCGCCTCTTACTTTTGCCTTCCCACACTTCTCCTTCTCCAAGAGACAGACAGTTTGGCCTGCCATCTCATGGGATTGCTATTCATTCTTCTATGTCCATATTCTATGTGTATTCTTGAGATTTACAACGAACAAAGAGGGGTGGGGAAGAACTGGGGAAGACCAACTGAAGAAGAACATCCTGTACCTGATACCAGGGGATTATCACACTTGTTGAGCTGGAGGCATAGCACTTAGTATTCAAGGGTCTTGGTGATCCAGACCCTAATAACAACCTCATTTGTTATTAGGTTGCTAGAACAGCCCATTACCCATAACTACTCTTCTCTTCTCTCTACATAAAGTACTTCTGAAAATTTTGGGGTAGTTATTCATGCAAACTTGCAGGTTGCACAGGAAATATCTTCATCTGATCCCCAGAAGTGGTCATGTTCTGTGTGGTTAAATGAAAGAGTTTAGCTATCTAATAACCCACAATGGAAGCCACCAACTCAATCTTCAGAAAATGCACAAAATGCAGTGTCATTTTCTCCAAGGTCATCAAACCTTATTCTCATGAGAACTTTGCAATGCTGGTAGACAGCAGTGCTAAGGAAAACCCACACACTGACTAGGGATTTTGCCCTCAGAACACTTGAGGTAGTAGCCTCTCTCGTGTTTTCTGAGAAGCTAGCATCATTGTTTTCTCTTCCTTTACTAATCAGTACCTGGACCATGAGGCACCAAAGATGTGAACCCCATCACAAGTGCACACTACAGTATCAAGGGAAGCAGCATCATAGAAAATAGAAAGACCACAACTACAGTCTGCACAATAAAACCTGCAAGGTAACTAGTGATATACTTAATTCATATTCTCTCTCTTCTTCCCAGCTGCCATGAGATAAGTAGGTCTACCCCGCTTCACCATTCCATCCCATGTTCTGCTTGACCTCAGGGCTAAAGCAAGGCAGTCAGCCCATGATGGACTGAATGTTATAAAACCATGAGCCAAAATAAATCTTCCCTCCCTTCAGTTGAATTTTCTCTGGTATTTTCATCAATGCAATGGAAATCTGACACAAAAATCAAACTGGAATGTATGAAAACTGTATCAATTTCTGGTTCAGATTCTCACCCTGTGCAATTGTTTTATGTTCTTCAAAGGACCTGGAAAAATTGGACACGTCATACATTTCTTTGCTCCATTACCTTTCATGTATAGGAAGTAAATATCAGATATTTAGAGGGTTTCTTTTCCACTGTGAGTGCAATTTGAAAGCAACTGGGAGCACTGATTTACCACACTTTTAATGTTCAGAGTTTCTGTAGTGTGCATCCTTTCATGTATTTGAAGTTGACCAGAAAAGTTGAATGATTTGCTACAATTTTTACATTCGAGTGCATTTATACATACCATTTCTTTAATGCTTATTAGGGGAATTGCTCCAATGGAATGTGTTTCCAATTGTTTACATTTATATAGCTTTGTTCCAATATGAATTACTTCATGTTTTTGTACATAACTGCAACAAATGAAGGATATATATATACCTTGTTTACACTCACCAGTATGTTTGTTCTTATATTTGAAGATATTAAGATCAACTAAAGGCTTTTGCATATTTTTCACATTCATAAGACTTCAATGCAGTGTGAATTTGTGTATAATTCAAAACTGATAAGAATGAGTGAAACGTTTCCCATGTTGTTCCATTTACAGGGTTTCTCGGCAGTATGTGTGCATTTATGCACTTGAAGGTGAGAAGTACCGAAAGCTTTTCCAGATTGTTTCTATTCATACAGATTCTCTCCAGTATGAGTGCTCTGGTGTTTTAAAATTGAATTGGAATAAGAAAAGATTGTACCACATTGTCTACAGTCATGAGGCCTCTCCCCAGTATGAGTTTGTTCATGTACGTGAAGATAAGCACAACTAGTACAGGCTTTTCCACACTATTTACCTTCACTGAGCTCTTCTTCAGTATAAATGTTTCTATGTACATAAATCCCACAGGAATATGTGAAGGCTTCCCACATTGCATACATCCATAAAGTTTTTCTCCAAAATGAGTTTTTTCATGTATTTGAAAATAAGCCAAACTTCTGAAGGCTTTACCACACCATTTCCCTTATAGGGCTTTTCTCGACTATGAGATTTTTCGTGTATTTAGAAAAAAGAAAATTCAATACATTATTTACATTCATAGACCTTCTTTCAAGTGTGAGTCTGTTCAGGCACATGAAGATAAGTGGAACAACTAAAGGTTTCACAATATTTACGTACATGGGGTTTCTCTCCAGTATGAGAATTTTCATGGGACAGGAAGTTACAGGATGAAGCAAAGGCTTTGCCATATTGTTTACACTCATCGGGCTTCTCATCAGTATGAATTCATTTATGTATTTGAAGGTAAGAGGAAGTACAGAAGCCTTTTCTACATTTTTTTACATTCATAAGGCTTCTCTCCAGAATGAGTTTGTTTATGTCTTTGAAGGGAAGAGGACCAGGAGAAGGCTTTCCCACATTGTTTACATTCATAGGGTTTTTCTCCAGTGTGAATTTGATTATGTCTCTGAAGGGAAGAGGACTGGGGGAAGGCTTTCCCACATTTTTTACATTCATAGGGCTTCCTTCCTGAATGAGTGTGTTCATGTGAATGAAGAAGATTGGATGAAGCAAAAGCTTTTCCACATTGTTTACATTCATAGAGCTTCTCTCCAGAATGAGTTTGTTTATGTATTTGAAAGGAAGAGGACCAGGAGAAGGCTTTCCCACACTGCTTACATACATAGGGCTTCTCTCTAGTGTGAGTTTGTTCATGTTTTTGAAGGTAAGAGGACCAGGGGAAGGCTTTCCCACACTGTTTACATTCATAGGGCTTCTCTCCAGTATGAACTAGATTATGTTGTTGAAGGGAAGAGGAAGTAGTGAAGGCTTTTGCACACTGCTTACATTCATAGGGCTTCTTTCCTGTATGAATTTGTTCATGTAAGCGAAGGCGACTGGATGAAGCAAAGGCTTTTCCACATTGTTTACATTCACGGAGCTTCTTTCTTACATGAGTTCCTTCATGTGAGTGAAGGTGACTGGATCTAGCAAAGGCTTTTCCACATTGTTTACATTCATAGGGCTTCTCTCCAGTGTGAATTAGATTATGTTGTTGAAGGGAAGAGGAAGTAGTGAAGGCTTTTGCACATTGTTTACACTCATAGGGCTTCTCTCCAGTATGAGTTCGCTCATGTGAGTGAAGGTTACTGGATGAAGCAAAGGCTTTCCCACACTGCTTACATTCATAGGGCTTTTCCCCTGTATGAGTTCATTTATGTAAATGAAGTTTAAAGGAACTAGTGAAGGCTTTTCCACATTGTTTACATTCATAGGGCTTCTCTACAGTATGAATTAGATTATGTCTTCGAAGGGAAGAGGAAGTACAGAAGGCTTTACTACATTGTTTACACTCATAGGGCTTCTTTTCTGTATGATTTTGTTCATGTGAGTGAAGAAGACAGGAAGTAGCAAAGGCTTTTCCACATTGTTCACACTGATGAGGATTCTCTGCATTATGGGTTCTTTCATGTTTTTGAAAGGAACTGGAGCAAGTGAAGGCTTTTCCATGTTGTTCACATCCAGATGGCTGCTCGCCAGTATGAGATTGTTGACACTTTTGAAAACACCTGGAACAACTGAACTCTCTTCCACATGTCAAACATTCATAAGGCCCATTGAGAGTGTGCATTTGTCTTTGAACATTTGTGAGAGAAATGAAGGATCTTCTGTTCTGTTTATATTCACATTGCTTCCCTCCACATTCCTCACTTTTATATTGTTTGTTTGAAGAGTGAGGTATGATCAGCCTAGTAAGGAAAAAAATAGTATATGAAGACCTGTCCACACACACTGCTTTTACATGAACTTTCTAGAAGAAATGTCCTTTTAAGCATTAGATTTGGAATCACCCTACAAATTTTTTCACACTGAGTACCTTTTTAAATATTTACAAAGCCTACCATATGGCTTTTGTTAAAAAAAGTTTATAAGCACAATTTATGACTCATTAATACTTTTGCATTTACTAATACACATTGGACTTACACTATTACCAAGGTCAGGGAAAGTACTCATTTTCTGTCATGTCTATACTATTTGAAAGTCAAAATCACAATTACTTTGCAACACTGGTTCTCCATCGCTACTACTAAAAGCAGTTTCTGAGCACTATTAACAAATCAATTATTTTGAAAACACTAAACATATATCTTACATTAAAGTTTATATTTTTGTTTAAAAAATAAATATGGCTCATATCATGCTTATTTTCATTGCTTGCTTGTAAAATTACAGGATATGCTAGGATTCTCTCAAGACACTCTGTTCTCTCTTATGAGTACAAATTACCTTATATGACTCCAAGGATTTATGTTCTGATCTTCAACATTCTGTTCCTCCCATCTGACTCCTAAAATGTAGACCAAGAACAATAATTATAAATCACTATAATTTCAGAATGCATTACAGGATTTACAACTTGCAACTGTAATGCACCAATAAAAAAATCAGAAAACTAAAAACAGAATTAGTGTATTTATGCTGCAGACTGCAATGATATTAGGCCCTATCTATTCCCCTAATACTCCCTTTCCACATTCCAAATTCATGAGAGAAAACATCTCCCTTGTGGGGAGTGCTCTGTCTTTGATTATGTAAAAGTGCTCTGTCTTTGATTATTTAATGAAACATCATCCTTACCTACAGAAGCCAGGTTTCTAAGAACTTCCTGCATCACATCTCTGTAGAGATTCTTCTGTGAAGAATCCAGTAGAGCCCACTCCTCTTGGGTGAAGTTCATAGCCACATCCTCAAAAAACACTGAGGTCTAAAATATTCCACAAAAATATAGTGCAGACCAGGAGAGATTGACAACATGAGGGCTCTATTCTATACATGTGAGATGTTCTCATGATTTTGTGGTCTCCAAATAGTTAGTCCATAATTTGGTCATTAAAACTTGTATTCTCTGTCTGCACTCACTCCTTCAAACAGAATCATTCCAATATAAGAACTGAACCATCCAGAAAACCATCAGCAGAGCAAAAACACCTTTCTCATTGTGAAGTCCAGGGAATAAGGTATGTTCCTGGGGGAAGCCTAAGGTCTATGTAGGGTGAATGTCTAATATATAGAATACTAAAGCCCTACTACTTTGTGATCAGAAGAGAGCTAATATTAGTCCTCCTAACAGTACATATCCTTACAAATACCTGCTGACCATGTTGTACTTTAGTTGATAGAGGAAGCTAAGGATTTGGGAAGGATCATATCAAACTGAGCAATTACATTGAGTCAGTACTTGAGACTGTAGGAAAGCAGCATGGTGGTATTTACTGAGTAATTTCTTTCCTTCGGAAATCCTGTTATTTTTTTCCCACTCTTATATTAGAACCTCAAGGATCAAAATATACCCACCCCTAAAAAAAGAAAACAATCTTCTGAGCAAAGGAGAAGAATGGAGGACCAATGACAATGCTGACCCACAGAAGGGAATGATGTTCCTCAAGAGGCCAGGATCAGACCAGGCACGGTGGCACACGCCTGTAACCCCAGTGTCTTGGGAGGCTGAGACAGGAGGATTGTAAGTTCAAAGCCAGCCTCAGCAATGGCAAGGTGTTAAGCAGCTCAGTGAAACCCTGCTCTAAATAAAATACAAAATAGGGCTGGGGATGGGGCTCAGTGGTGGAGTGCCCCTGGGTTCAATCCCTGGTACCAAAAAAAAAAAAAAAAAAAGGCCAGTATCACTCCAAGGGACCAGTACCACTGTGAACTGAATGGCTGGAAAACTGTGTTCACATGGACACCTGAAGTCAGACCCTCACCTCACAGCACAAACATACATGAATTCCACATAGGCTAAATTCCTGAAGATGTACACCTCAACACTGGATTTAGGAATGGTGTCTGAGATACACCTTCCATGTGATTTGTGAAAGAAAAATAAGACAAATTTGATTTCACCAAAAATAGCTTTCAGTCCTGTCATTTGCAACAGTGAGGCTGAAACTATGGGGACCATGCTAACAGAAATAAGCCAGGCACAGAGAGACATACTGTGGGTTCTCACTCACACAGAGAAGCTGCAAGTTGGTTTCAGAATAAGTACAAGAGTAGTTACCAAAGGTGAAGAAAAGAGGAGAGAGGGGACAGGTCAGGGCTGGGGGAGGAGGCTGGGTATACTCAGGAATAGCCAGCAGCACTGTCCAGCAGCCAGCAGCATAGTAGGGTGACCACACTGCACAGCATGTCACTATGTATTTCAGACACCAAGAAATAATAAATGTTAGGAAATGGAAGAGCTAATGCCCCTATCATCATGATGAAATGGAACAATTAGCTCACTGCACCTCATCAATATGTGCAATTTAAAAGTGAATCACTACTGAAAAGTGAAAATTTTGTTCTTTGTGGGACACCATTAACAGAATGAAAATGGTAATAAAGAACTGTAGAAAATACCTGCACAAGGAGCATATGGAGAGGTGCTGATACCTGGAAAGAATGAAGAACAAGCACTCACAAATCTCAACCAATCCTCACAACATAAACACACATACCTGAATATAATGAAACACCCTAAGAAATCACAATAATCTACAACATCTGAGGCTACACTGAAGGTTGTCTCCATGACAACAAAAAAACAAGTCAAGAATACCTGCTCCCACCAGCAAAAGGGGTGCTAGCAGGGAAACCTAGAAGACACTCAGGTATTCCAGACCTCAGGGCAAACTCACACAGCCCCAGATATTGAGGCAAAATCAAGGACTTCACCAAGCAGATACAGGTGGGTGCAGGAAACACAGACTCAGACTCCTTCACTCACAGAGACAGCAGCCACAGGCACCAAGAAGGGAGGAGACAGTGCAGCCTATGCACCCATCACCACCTCGTTTCCATCAAAAGTGATCACCCAACATGTGCACATTTGACTTGTATTTCTCTCTCTCTCTCTCTCTCTCTCTCTCTCTCTCTCTCTCTCTCTCTCATGCTGGGGATTGAACCCAGGGCCTTGTGCATGCAAGGCAAGCACTCTGACAACTAAGCTATGTCCCCAGCCCTGACTTGTATTTCTCAATTCCTGCTCCCTAGATTATCTACTGCAAGAGGTCAGGGATACTGAACGGGGTTTCTTTACTGCTACACCTACGAGAAAGCCTGCTATATAGAGGGAGATCAATACCTGAGAAGTCCCAGGGCTCTAACACACACAAATACACAGTGGTCTCACACAAACCTCCTCACAGGCCCACAGCCACTCAACTTTCACAGACTGAAGTGATCAACCCCATCTCATGTGTCAGAGCAGTGGCTCCTAGACCCCAAGCCATTTCCCAAAGTTGGGGTGACCCAAACAAATTCACAATGTATGTCCACATGAAATGCTGCACCATAATGTTTAGAGCAGCAGGAAAATTATTTTCAAAACCTGTAAGCACCCAAGAGAAAGATGTGTTTCCAAGGTCAGCAGTGAAAAATTGATATAAAAATTCAATCAAAATCAATTAATAATCAAAAATCAAGTTTTGTATACATGAAATGCTGAAATGCAATTAACACAAACGTTCATTAACAATGGCATCCTAAGAATATAGAAGAATAAATAACATCACAATAATATATACATAATAAATAACCCAATAGAAAAGTATAAAGCTTATTTTCTAAACTGCAATGCTTGTTGGTATAAGCTCAAGATACAAATAAAAGAGAAGCCAAGCCATGCTCATAGACTGAAGGTTGAACATTATGAAGGTGGGGATACCCACAGAAGGACCTACAGGTTCTATTTAATGCCAATCAGAATCCTAGGTGATGATTTGTTTGTAGAAATTGAAAACACTATCTGATATTGCAAGGACACAGAATACCAGGCAACTTAGAAAAAGAGAAGAACACTTTGATGGGCACTTCATGAGTACAAAACCTGATTCAAGTCAACAGGAACCAAGGTGCATTCATCGCACTGGAAACACCATGCAGATGAGGAATGACAAGAGCTCCAGGGAGCAGAAGGTCAACAAAACAGCAGTGCAGCTACTCCTCACAGAAACACGGGAAGATGAGCAGAACTGTCTGGTGCTGGAACAGCCTCAGTTTCACATAACTGCACGATGTGGCTTCAGTGAGACATGGTGGGGAGCCTTGTGGAGGTTTCCTGTCCTTGCTGCAAACCCTGGGACTTAGCGCCGTCCTGCAGACAGCAACCTGAGCCTCCAGTGAAACAGAGACACAGTCCATCACAACTCACCATAGCCTACCCATCAGGCCAACCCAGGAGCCTGTCAATGGATGAAAGGATAAAGAAAATATGGTATATATGCACCATGGAATTTTATCCAGTCATAAAGACTGAACTGGAGGACAACATGTTGAGTGAAATAAGTGAGAGCCAGAAAGTCAGATGTTGAGTATTTTCTCTGAGTGGTTGTGGCAGCTAGAGCAAAGTAAAGAAGGAATTGATGTAGAAGGGATCCCATAAAAACAGAAGATGTGTGCAGCAGAGAAAGAAGAAGGGAGGAGGGACAGACAGAAAAAGAGAGGAAGAGTGGAATGACATTGAACATGTGCATGCATGAATACTTCACAGTTATGCTTATTTACAAAGCTTTAATAATAAAAAAAAACTACAAATAGAAGAAAGCTTAGTAGAATAGAGGAAAGAAAAAAGGAAGAGAGTAGGTAAAAAGAGGAGTTGCTGGGGACTAAAGTGGAGCAAATTACATCCCAGCTTGCATATAATACAAAACCCAGCATTAGCTAGGCATAGTAGAGCACATCTGTAATACTAGAAACATGGGAAGCTAAGGCAGGAGGATGCAAGCTTGAGGACAGCCTCAGCAAAGTAGCAAGACCTAAATTACATGATGAGATCATCTAAAAATAAAAAAATAAAATAAAATTAAAAGGGCTGGGGATATGGCTCAGTAGTAAATTGCCTCTGAGTTTAATCCTTGATAGCAAACAGAGTAAATACATAAAATAAACACCAATATTATATATAATTAATATACTAATAAAAAAGGAAAGAAAAAAGAAGTCAAAACAAAGGGTACAATTTGAGAAAATAAAAGCATAAACAATGGCTTGGGTTTGATACGCAACACCACCAAAAACATTAAAAAGGCAACATAGCTTATGAGGAGATTTTTTCCTAAAGTCTTAAAAAATGTCCAATGAATAAAAATGATCAAATAGAAAAGATTTTTTTAAAAGAATATTCCACCTTGTTCAGTTAAATATTGCCACCTTGTTCAGAATAAATACTTTGCACATTTAAGGAAAATCTGAGTCTCAAATAAGTGAGCAGATCATTTCAAATTGATAAACACAGAAAGGGCTGTTGCTGAGAGAGCACAGACAAAACAGGCTCAAGGGGCAGGCAAGGTCCCTTGCTGGATGCCCACCTGGTCCTGCTCACTGAAACACTCCATGATCACCCTCTCAGGAGACCTAGACCATGACTCCAGTCTACGAGGCTTTCAGGTTTGCACAGCACTGCACTGGGGTGGGTGGTCCTTATGCTCTGGGAGAGTTTTCCTCCTTCACAATTGTGAGAGAATGCAAAGGCAGGAATCACTGCTGACCTGGCCCTTCAGCACCAGCATCCACAGGCTGACTGTTCACCTGTCTTCAAGGAATGGGGACAGGGCTTGGGGAGAGGCAGCTCTCTAGGTGAGGCCTGTTCCAGCAGATTCCTCAGCCTGAGGGCCTCCAGATGCTCCCTTTCAGAGACTGCACTGCAAACCTCTGGCTGTCCTCTAGGAGGAGCTGAGCAAGGACCTGAAATTGCCTGTACCCTACAGGAAAATAGTATCCTGTGTGTACCTTGGGGGAGGCCCCAGGAAAGATAGGACAGTGGCTGAAGACACAGGACACTATGAGGTGTCCAAAGGCAACCTCTGCACAAGTTATTCTGATAAGGTGTCTGTTCCTGGGGAAGATAAAGGATCTGCTATCCCATAATGATAGATGGTCACAAATAGAAAACAAATCTTTTAAAATTATCATCCATTACTCAGTAAAAAAATGATAATGCAGATACTATGCGCACTTGAATGTAGTGAGGGGACAAAGAGTTGACAATGCTGAGCACTGCAGGGGAAGCTGGAGTCTAAAAATGTGGGAGACAGGTGCATGTTGAGGGGTTTACTGCAAGCTCTAAAAGGGGGCAGGATGGAGACAGAAATGTAAATGTAAGACTCCATTTCCCAAACATGTGGAAAGTGGGGTGGGGAAGATGAGTGACTGCTAGAGAAAAGGAAGGATAGTGACCCCTAGACCAATAATATTCCACACAGGAACCCCATCCCGAAGTCAGTAACCCTTGAAAATGGTTTGCCTTCATTGCACCCTCAGAGCCTAGAACTGGGGTACAGCTGCACAGAGAGGGTTCTACCAAAATGGCTGCAGACTAGGCAGCACACTGGGAACATACAACTGAACCAGCCCACACCAAAGTCTAAAGGCATCAAGGGCTGAGCTGTAGCAGCATCTGACTCAGGTCTGGGTTGGCTGACTCTGGAGCTGACAGTGGGAAGTCAGAATCCAGCCACAGCTGGTTCCCACCAGTTCTAACCATCCTACCTCCCAGAGCAGTCCTGGCCCCACACACTCACCATTTCCTGCCTTCTGAGGAGTCCTGACTTCCTTCCTGAGGACCTCATAGCAGCTGCAGGTCACAGGGAGACCGATCTGAGCCAGAGCCACTTGGGCCTCATACAGCAGAGAAGACACAGTCCTGGAGATGGATTCTGAGCTGCAGACGATAAGAGATGAAGGCCTGTGAGACTGTAGAAGGCCACCCCCTCCCTCCAGCTGCCTGCTGCCTGCCCAAGGCTCCACAAGACCCCTCTTTTACCTAGCCCACATATACACACTTTGGGGCCCTGAGTGACAGGAGATGTATCACACTCCTGGATACATAGGCCAGGAAGACAAGTGTTACAAGGAAGCAAAATTGTGACATATGCAGTCGAGGGAAGAAAGAAAGAATGTCGATGTGCTTCTGCCCCTTTCAATGCTTTATTCACTCAAATTACTCAATACAATTTCACTCTATAGGTTCTTAATCAAGAAAATGATAATCCTTAATGTTAGGTACTGCAATAAACATAATCAATTCACAGCAAACAATTCTAGATTAATTCTAAGCACTGCAAAACACACTTAATCATGACAGGCTCAACAGAGACATTCCCTCTTAATACTTCTTAATACTCAGAAGTATTAAGCCTCAGTCTTTAAGTCCAGCAGAAGTTCACTCACTCAGACCGTGGTGATTAGGTCCGGAACCAAGGCAGGCTTTTCCTGGCAGGATTGGACAACCGGTTGAGGAGAGGGTTGTAGGGAGAAGTTGCAGCTCTCACCAGGGTCCAGATGAGGTGGTAGAGTTTGAGAGCATGGTCAGGTTCTCATCAGGCTCTCCAGCTCGAGTACATCCTTGTCTTGGCTGGATGAATCCCTGTTCATCAGCTCTATTATTTATATTATTTATATTTATATTTGGGGTCTTTTTACCCCCCTTTCAATCCTTATCAGCTACCATGGGTTTCTCAGTGACATCATTTACCCTGAGGTCAGAAACATGTGGTCTGGTGGTCTCCACCCTGATCTTCTGCCTTTCCCTCTAATCAGGTGAGAACAGCCTGCCAGGGGCTTCACTCTCTTTTATCAGGGTGAGGGGAAGTGACTTGTTTGAAGCCATACTGGAAAGTTCTATGGGTGTGCCTGGTGAAACTGCAGGTTTCAAACTGGAGTTTTTAAAATGGAGTTGCTTAGGCTCAGGCCTAAGGCCATCCTCACAACAAGACATTGGCAAAAATCCTTTTCAGGCAGAACTTCCTCCCTATAGGCAACATGCCCCACCAGGTTTCCATTTAGGCAAAGCTGAGCTTGGCTTTACAAAGCAGGGCCCTGTTGTCTTCCTGCCCTTCTGGACAAAGTCAAAAGCATGTATGATGAATTACACACTCAGTATGAAGGCAGCCAACCCTAACCTCACAGAAGATGGGTATAAGGTTATTTCAGACTGAAAAGAAGGGAGACAGGAGTCCATCAGTTGGGAAGAGGTCAGGGAAGCATGGCCAAGTCCTCCTCACAATTTAACTCTGTCAACTCATTTTCAGTCAAAAAAATAAAAAGACAATGAGGAGATACAATTATTAAATGCATGAAAAATTAGTTATATGACAATAAAAGAAATTAAAGAAAAACAAAGAGTTGAAGCAGCTCTGGTAAGATGTCTGCTTCACCCACAGCTCAGAATGAAAATCCACTTGCATAGAGAGGGGTAAACACAAACCCAAGTTATATATATGTAAAGACTGATGGTGTGGCTCAGTGGTTGAATTCCCCTGGGTACAATCCCCAGTATAAGGGGGGAAAAAAGTCTATATAATTCCTTGCATCTGAACATAATGGAATGACATTAGAAATCAACACCAAAACAAAAAACAGAAAGTTGTTACATAGTTCACAGCTACAAGTGCCTACATAAAAAAGCCAAATAGTTTTCAAATCAATAATCCAATGGTGCAACTCAAGTCCCTCAAAAAACAAGAACTAAACCAATTTCAAAACCAGTAAAAGAAAACAATATGAAAGTTGAAATCAATGACATAGAGAAAAAAATACAAAGGATCAATAAAACAAAGAATTCATTCTTTGAAAAGATGAACAATATTGAAATCCATTAGTCAAACTAATGGAAAGGAGAAAAGACTCAAATTTAACCATACTAAGCATATAAAAGAAATAACCATAGACAGCACAGAGGATCATTAGTGACTTCTTTGAAAATTAATGGTCTAATAAATTGGAAAACCAAGAAGAAATGGATATATTTTTAGACACATATGCATTACATGCAAAACTGAATCACAAGGACGTATAAAACCTAAACAGTCTAAAACCCAGCAATGAGATAGAAGCATTAGTTAAAAAAAAAAGAAAGAATAAAAGGAAAACCTTCCAATTCCAATTTTGAAAAGCCCAGGACTAGATGGATTCTCAGCTGAATTCTACCAGACCTTTAAAGGATTAATACCAACATTCCTCAAATTATTCCATAAAAAGAAAGGGATGGAATACCTCTGTGGTGAGCCGCTTCTGCCGTTTCTGCAGATTATGGTCGCCATTACAAGATGACGCTGGCTCCGCTGTGGTCTGTGACAAACAACTTCTTACCTGGGAAAGTTGGCACATGATTTTTCACCACCCTGTGAGAAAGCTCCACGCGGCAGCTTTGCATTGGGGCTTGGGATGCTTTATTAAGGCTGGGAGGGGCATCAGAGAGAGAGAAGAAGAAATATCAAGGGCCTGAATAAACTGTTGAAAGAAGATTCCCGAGTTGCGTCTTCCTTGCGGGCAAGGGGTCACAACAAGTGGTGCCGAAACCCGGGAACCAGAACTTTCAACAGTCAGGGGTGGTGCACCGGTTAGTCCCAGGTAAGTGGGATCCGCGATCAAAGCGGGGTTAGTCCCAGGTAAGTGGGATCCGTGACCAAAGCGGGGCAGCTCCTCTGTAAAGAAAGAGAGAGCCTTACATTTTATTGCAGCTGCACTGTGTACTTTCGCTTCTACTTTAGCTTTCTTTTTTTTGTGCTTCCTTTGTTGTTGTGTCATGGGTGCCTCATCTTCAAGTCCGCTTCTCCTGGCCCTAGATGGCCTGTTACGTTCCAAGGGACTGGAAGTGAAACATAGTACTTTACAGAGATTTTTGCAGAAGATAGATGTCGCTGCACCGTGGTTTGCGTTTTCGGGCAGCCTTACTGTGCCTAGTTGGGATAAGTTAGGCAAAGATCTTGACTTTGCTTCTGAGCAGGGCATATTAGAGGGTGGGGTGATACCCCTTTGGAAAATGGTCCGTGGTTGCCTTACAGATGGCAGATGTCAGGAAGCACTTACTAAAGGACAGGAGGTTTTAGAGCAATTGCATGAGGAAAAATCGGAGACGGCAGAAAGTGAAGTGACTCGGGAGGATGGGAGTGTGCGGAGCATGAGACGGGGGAGGAAACGGTTGTATCCAGATCTCAGTACGCTGCGTACACCCCCATGCGAAAGTGGGTCAGAGGAGGAGGAGGATGAGGAGGAAGAGCTCAGGAGGCTGTCTCGTCAGCTAGGGAGTTTAGCTATAGGAGAAGGGAACAAAGATAAACAAGGGCTCAAGAAAAGCCATCCCCCAGATCCACCGCCGTATGGTGGGGGCGTTTCGGGGAGAGCTTTCCATGCCCAAACATGGAGGGCTGTTCACGCTGAGATGGGTCTTGCTTATCCAGTTTTTCAGGATGACAACAGGGGAAGAGTCCATGAACCCTTAGATTTTAAAATTGTGAAGACCCTGGCGGAGTCTGTACGCACTTATGGGGTGGATGCCGCCTTCACGCTGACTCAGGTGGAGAGTCTGTCTAGATACTGTATGACTCCCTCTGATTGGGCTAGCCTTGTTCGGGCTTGCGTTTCCCCGGGTAAATATTTGGACTGGAGAGCATTCATGCTAGAGGGCGCAATAGAGCAGGCCCCCCAAAACCATGCGGCGGGACACCCCCATTGGGACAAGGATATGCTCTTGGGACAGGGTAGATTTGCAAATCAACAGACAGGATTTCCTCTTGAGGCATATGATCAAATTAACAACATTTGCATTCGGGCATGGAAGTTGCTTCCAAATAGAGGAGAGGTGTCTGGTAATTTGACCAAGATTCTACAAGGCCCTACAGAACCCTTTTCAGATTTTGTAGCAAGGATGGTGGATGCCGCTGGAAAGATTTTTGGGGATCCTGATAGAGTCATGCCCCTTATCAAGCAATTGGTCTTTGAGCAATGCACCAAGGAATGTAAAGCGGCAATCACTCCTTATAAAAATAAGGGCATAGAAGCATGGATGAAAGTGTGTAGAGAGATTGGAGGACCTTTAACTAATGCAGGTCTTGCAGCTGCTGTCATTCGGATGGAAAAAGGGGGCAATCCTGGTGCCGGAACATGCTTCCATTGTGGTCAACCCGGTCATTTCAGACGTGAATGTCCTAAAAAAGATAATTTTACTGGACACCCTCACGGTGGCCCTTCCAATGGCCTTCGTCAACCAGGGCTGTGTCCAAAATGTAAAAAGGGGAAGCATTGGGCAAAAGAGTGTAGATCAGTGAGGGACATCCATGGACAGCCTATTTCAGCTGGGCCAAAAAACGGCCGAAGGGGCCCCCGACCCCAGGGCCCACAAATATATGGGGCAATGGAGAATGTCACACCCAAACCTGAGACATGGCCATCTCTACGCCATCCCATGAGACGCGGAGAGCCACTACAGGTGCCGCGGGATTGGACCTCTGTTCCACCTCCAGACTCGTATTAACACCTAAGATGGGAGTCCAATTGGTGGAAACTGAGTTCAAAGGGCCTTTACCGCCTGGCACTGTAGGTTTGCTAATTGGACGTGCATCCTCTACTTTACAAGGTCTTCATGTCTTTCCTGGAGTCATTAGCCCTGATACTGTAGGGGCAATAAAGGTTATGGTGGAGGCTCCAAGGGGCATTGTGTCTATTTCCCCAGGAGACCGGATTGCCCAATTGCTAATTCTACCCAGTCTGCATACCCGCTTTCCTGCTGATTCCTTTTCAAGGACAAGTGATGAGATTGGAGTTACTGGAGGGAATTCTGTTTATTTGTCCTTAGATATGAATGACCGTCCTACTTTAAACTTAACCATAGAAGGCAAATCAATTTTGGGATTGCTAGATACTGGAGCAGATCGTAGT